GGCATGATCATAGCTCCTTGCAACCTCAAACTCCTGGGCTTGAAAGATCCTCCTGCATTAGCCTCCCACATACCTGGGACTACAGGCATGCACTACCATGCCCGACTAATTTTTCTATTTTTTGTAGAGATGGGGTCTCCTTATGTTATCCAAATTGGTCTCGAACTCCTGGACTGAAGTAATCCTCCAACCTTACCCTCCCAAAGTGCTAGGATAATAGGTGTGAGCCACCTGCTTAGCCAAATTTTTCTATCTCATTCCAAAAGTCCATGTTAAAATACCTATACAAACCAGGCATAGTGAATGAGTGACAGGGTAAAACCCCGTCTCTTTAAAACAAACAAACAAAAAATCCCAAAACACCCCACCTATATAGCTTCTGTAGGTTCTTGCCTGATAACGTTTAATGATTTTCTATGAAGTAGGAAGCAAGAGCATCTAAAACTGAGAGAGGATGTGGCAGGAAGAGATTTAGTGAAGGTCTAAAACAGCCAATTTCTATAATGAAAAAGAGCCGAGCAGAGAAGCATAGACCTCCAGGAAAGTTCTGGAAATGGTCCAAATGGGGCTGAAGGTATTGAACTAGTAGCCCTCATCTGTACAGATGTGAGATTTTCTCCAGCAGCACTCAACAGCCAGGGAGAAGATACAGAGACAATGAACAAATAGACTGTCCACAGTCACAGTTTTCCAGGAGAGACAGAAAAGACAGACATTAGGGCAGAAGAGTTAAGGATATGAGTAAGAGAGTGGCTGAAACAATGAAATATAGCCTCTAAGCTGAATACAGAACTGTAGGGGAGGTATGCTAATAAAAAGAAAGCAGACTAGGAACTAGGAAAGGGTCAAGGAATTTAAGGACTCCCATAAAAGCATTTCCCAAAAAGAGTTTCTCAGACACTAATTACATAGGATGTTAATCGCTGATATGCTTTTCATTATCAGCTTTTCATGGTCAAGTAAGTTATGGAAAGCCTGGGTAATATAAGTTTTAAACAGGTTTCCTTCCTGCACTACTTGCAGAGCATTTAATAAGCTAATAATATATACTATAATTCTCTAATAATTTATCTTCATGATAAATACTTCTGATTATTATTTATTATCAATCTATCCATTTATATTTATCAGAGAATTTCACTGAATGGGTATCTTAAGGAACTCATTTTCAGAAGGTCTGCTTGTGAAATGAAAGCTAGGGACAGTAGAACACTTAAAAAGAAGTGGTATGTTACCAGGTAATAGCTTACTAAGGTTTACCTGAGAGTTCTCTTAGCTTTCAGAGGTATGACTCTTTAATACTATTACAAGTCAACACAGAAAAACCCAGCAAGATTTGACTCTGACTATACTGTAATTATTAGTCATGTATGAAACCGATAACCCAAGAACATCTACTATTATGTGGCACAGGATTCTTATCAGGACAAACCTCACAGTTTATCTGGTGAAACAACAGACACACAATAATGCACACACACTCACACAAAATAAAAACCTGGTTGAAAAGTATGGCTCTTCCTCAGATACCAACAAGGTATAGTTCCCCATCGGAGCAGCTAGAGCTACCAATCCAGCCCTAGTTCTGTAAGACCAGAAAATTCCTTCACAGAGACAGCACCAACTGAGAAGATTTTAGCTGAACAAGATAAAAAGTCCCAGTCTTCTCTTTGCTGAAGTTGCTGCTCTCCCAGAGTCACTCACAATACAATAATCTCAATTATGCCCACCAACTTGATGACAATAGATTTTTTTTTTTTTTAAGACAGAGTCTCACTCTGTTGCCCAGGCCAGAGTGCCATGGCATCAGCCTAGCTCATGGCAACCTCAAACTCCTGGGCTCAAGCAATCCTTCTGCCTCAGCCTCCCAAGTAGCTGGGGCTACAGACATGCACCACCATGTCCAGCTAATTTTTTCTACATATTTTTAGTTGGCCAATTAATTTCTTTCTATTTCTAGTAGAGACGGGGTCTTGCTCTTGCTCAGGTTGGTTTCGAACTCCTGACCTTGAGTGATCCTCTCACCTCAGCCTCCCACAGTGCGAGGATTACAGGCATGAGCCACCTTGACAATAGATTCTTGACCTGGTTCTAATCTATTTATTCAGGATAAAAAGTCCTAAAAATTGGTTTCCTTAAATAATAATCAACCTGCTTATATCAAGTGTCAATCATTCAGAATTCAAACTGGCACAGACCAGTATGAAAGGAAAAAGTAGAGATCCGTGTATAAACATTGGCTGTGCCAGATCATGAAGGACTTTGGTTACACAGCTGAAGCCTGGACATTACATGGGTAATAAGGAGGCCCCAGAGATATGTGACTAGGAAGAGTGGGAGTAGAAGGGTATAGGTAATGCCATCACTGCTGAAAACTGTTTTGGAAAGTTCTTCTTGGGATTATGACTGTAGGATCCATGCCCACTGTTTTTAAACAGATCAAATTTTAAATACTTTTTGTCACTTTTTTCAATTACCCTTCAAAAAGGTCTTTGAATAATTTTGCTTCCCAGAGGTAAGGAAAACAGTACTGTAATTTCTAGTGTCATGGATAAAGTTAAAAAAAACTGACAAGAATGTTATATAAGGCAACTCACTTGAAACTCCAATGGAAAAAGAGATGGAAATCAGAATCTTCAGCACACAATGTAACATTCTAGAGATTTTAGAAAACCAAAAATAATATACTACTATAATCTTTTTAAGGAACAAAAATTCTAAAAATACATTAGCAAATGAGGCTTTGACTGAAGTGGCATAAGCTGAGACCTCATACCAACTAATCTCACAAGCTTTAAAGAAGATTTAGATCAGGAGTAAAAACTAAACTAAACTAACTATGTGGTTTCAGGAAAAGTCAGTCTTCCCTCAATAACTTCTTTACATTCTTTACTATCACTATTCTACAGTATGACAATCCCTAAGAGGGTTATACTAACATCACTTGATTAGATTTTGGGGAACATCAAAGTCCCACATTACAGAATGAAGTCTAACTTGCAGAAACTTAAAATATATGGAAAATTGGTTCATAGGATTTAAAACTTGCTGAGACACATAAAACAACTGCAACTATAATAAACCATTATCTGCTCAACTTACAAGTAGATTTTCCATAAAATCTCTTGTGACAAAAAGTCATACCTATTATATATAATTTGTTATAACTAAATTATAATATATATTGATTTCTGTGGTTGTCAAAGCCAAAAGTCACTATATAAAATATATGGAAATCTGTGATATAATTTTAAAGTATGATGTTTGATAAATCATTACCACTATCTCTTCCTCAAAATATAACAGAATGTAATCTAACATGAATTAGATTCTATAAAGACTTGGTTTTTTAACCACTGTATATATGCTGATGTTCAACTACATTAATACATGAAAACTTGTTTATATAGTTTCATAGGCAGCTCAGTAGCTCACTAGAGATACAACAGAGTAGCTAGAGATACAACAGAGTACTCAATGACCTTCTAACTGATCTGCTAGGAATCATAAAATTTGAGTAAAGGAAATTTAACAGCTTGTGGAAAAATAGTGCTACATCTGATGGGAAATACATTAGCTGTTTTACCACAGGATCTTTTTGATATACAGGGCATATGACTTGTACCCTAACACTAGCCGGCTCTGGAGGCCACAAGACCATCCTTTGCAGTTGAGTGATGCATGTTATGGATACTACTATAGTATCTGTATAGAATAGAATAGGCAGAAGGCCTATTCTGGTCAGAAGCCCAGCTAGGAATTTTAAGAAATCTTAAGATTTAGGCTGCTTTCCAGGGCAAAGGCTCAGGAGACTCACCAGTGGCAGGGGGTAGAAAACTCATACCCCACCCGCAGGATTAACCACATAGTAATCGGTTTACACCTTGTGCTTCATGACCCTCCCCTTCCAAAGAACATCTACCCCATAAAGGGCTATATATCACAAGGAAATGTGAAGAAAGCAGCACCAGCAGCAGCAGCAGCAGCAAGCCAAGTGACTTGAAGCTATGAGGTGAGACCTCACAGGGGGAGTAGCAAAAAGAAAGCGGTGGGCAAAAAGAAAATGGAAATACCAGAGAGGAAATTCCAATATCCATTTGCAATACCAGCAACTCACTTGAATGTTTACAATTTTCTGGACTCAAAAGTGGTACAAGTCATGTAATCCTGCTTTTCTGCCACTTAGAAGCAATACTGTCTAGTGCTTAGACTTTGACATTAACCACACAGGACTAGGGTAGTAGCAGGAAGGGATGAGAAAGGTCAGTTGGTATGAAGACAACAATTTTTTTGCCTATCACTGTGAAATCACAATGTCCTACATTGTTTAACTGCAGTTTCCTAAAAAACCATTTAAAAAAAAAAGAAATGTGAGTTTGTGAAAGCATCCCTATCTTAATCACTCTGTAAGCAAAGGAGGCCAGAGAGGATGTCTTAATCATCATTTTGGCCCCTGCAGCACCCCTGGCACTGTGCCTCACACATGATAAGCAGCAGTAAATATGCACAGAAGCAAATCTTCCGTGTGAGCATCCCTGTCTCTCCTTCTTCCTAGTGTTTATTTTCCCACTTCAGCCCTGATTTCTTCACATAGCTCTTGCACTACTCTGTCTCTGTGGCTTAACTGATAATTTGGACAACATGAAATAATATTATGTTGTATTTATTGGAACAGAATATTAGGTTCACTTTTTAAATTGGAAAAGTAAATATTAGAAACACTATCTTTTTCTTTCTAAAATACTTTACAAATTAAATTATGGGTTAGCAGCCTTCAACAGAAAAACTTAGAGTTCCATAACTCTAAGTTAAAGATGTGTTGCTTTCTACTATGTTAAAATAAAATTTTAAAAAGTTTACTTTTGCTATACTCTTATTTTACTATTACATAAAGCCAAGAAATAAAGTTTATCATAATTGCCTATAAGAAATAATAAAGAACTATCCTGGTTTCTAAGGAAGTACACTTTCAAAATATTCAATGGGGAAAAGCCACATACTTTTCATAGTTCCATCCTCTTCTTCTTCATCCTCACTGTTTATAACCATGGTCCCCAAGTCAGATTCTAACATGGTGCTATTATGTTCAATCATGGTCTGTGCCCCTTCACTCATTGTGCTTGTGGCCCGCATCGTGCCGACACTCTCAGAACTAGTCTTCACCATGGTGTGGGAATCCAGCTCATCTTCATCCTGCAAGCAAAATACTGCAATGAAGAAAGACTTTTCTAAGACAACCAGATTTCCTAATTTCTTGAACAACAGTATGGATATATTATACTTTTAATAATAAAAATACTACTATTACTACTAATTTTAATATAAGGACACACATACAAATGTTATCATATGAGCCAAACTTATCCAAAATAACCTGAAGCTTTAGGTAATTAAACATCAAGGAACAGAAACTGTTTGATGTAATAGAAGACTGCTCTTGCTTTTAAAATAAGAACTGGAGATAGGTAAATTAGCAACAAACACATTACAAAGAATACCATGATGAAATAATTAAACATACAAAAGAGAGGATCTTTAAGATAGAACATGTTGGCACTTTCTATTACAATAAGCATAATAACATTTATAATGTTGTACAACAGCCATTAGATTTTTCTTTTAAATTGTGGCTAAACATACATAACATAAAATTTACCATTTTGACTTTTTTTCCCCCTCCCCTCAAGACAGAGTCTTGCTCTGTTGCAAGGGCTAGAGTGCAGTGATATCACCATAGCTCACTGCAACCTCAAATTCCTGGGTCAAGAGATCCCTCTGCCTCAGCTTTCTGAGTAGCTGTGACCACAGGCACATGCCACCCAGGATAGAGTGCCATGGCGTCAGCCTAGCTCACAGCAACCTCAAACTCCTGGGCTCAAGCAATCCTCCCGTCTCAGCCTCCCAAGTAGCTGGGGCTACAGACATGCTCTACCATGCCTGGCTAGTTTTTTCTATACATATTAGTCAGCCAATTAATTTCTTTCTATTTATAGTAGAGATGGGGTCTCGCTCTTGCTCAGGCTGGTTTTGAACTCTTGACCTCGAGCAATCCGCCTGCCTCGGCCTCCCAGAGTGCTAGGATTACAGGCATGAGCCACCACGTTCAACCAACAAGTTCTTTAAAAAATATTTTTTGAAAGATGTGAAGACACAGAGAAAAGATAACCATCTACAAGCCAAGAAAAGAACCTCAGGAGAAACCAATCCAGCCAACACCTTGATCTTGGACTTCTAAAAGTAAATAACACTTCATCAAAATTAAAAATTTTATGCATTAAAGGACGCTATCAACAGAAGGCCAGGCGCGGTGGCTCACGCCTGTAATCCGAGCACTCTGGGAGGCTGAGGCAGGCGGATTGCTCAAGGTCAGGAGTTCGAAACCAGCCTGAGCTAGAGCAAGACCCTGTCTCTACTAGAAATAGAAAGAAATTAATTGGCCAACTAATATATATATAGAAAAAATTAGCCAGGCACGGTGGCACATGCCTGTCCCAGCTACTCAGGAGGCTGAGGCAGAAGGATTGCTTAGGATTGCTTAAGCCCAGGAGTTTGAGGTTGCTGTGAGCCAGGCTGATGCTACGGCACTCACTCTAGCCTGGGCAACAAAGCAAGACTCTGTCTCAAAAAAAATAAAAAATAAAAATAAATCATCTCTCCTAATCTGAAAAGAGGGGAGGGAAGGGGAGGGGAGAGAGGAAAAAGAAAAAAATCTCAGCTCCATCTCATCTCTTCTTTTCCATTCCCACTGCTACTGAGCATACTACTCACTGCAGACAATGCTTCCTGACTGAAGACTCTCCCATCTAACCTTCTAGAATCAGACAGACATTAGTTCAAATCCTAGCTCAAATCACTTACTAAACATAAGACCTTTAGGCTAGTTATTTAAACTCTCTGAACTTTAGTTTCTTCCATTGGTGTAATAATGATTAAATGACAAAAGGTATGCAAAAATGCCTGCATGCTACCTGGAACAAGCTAGTTTGATATTTTCCTCAAAGTAAATAACACTATATTAATCTTTCTTGATTATTATTTATATCACAATAATCTCTTAGTGAAGAATCTGTAATGGTTCACAATTCTTGTCTATGTAAAGCCGAACATTTCTGCCTAGATTTTAATGTCCTCTATGTTCTTATTTTATTCAATCCTACTTTCACATTGTTAATATATCTTCGAATCAGCAGGCTGACTTTAACTGACTCTCTCTGCCATAACTCTGTAAGGTAATTCCATAAGATGTTATGCTCATTAAGACTATCTTTGCTCATGTCTTCTTTTCTACCTAAAAGGCCCTTCCTCTCTACCCATTTAACTAAATCCTACCTAGTCCTACAGATCAAGCATCTATTACCTCTATGGCTAATTCAGTCTTTGTTAATTATCCTCTTTTCCAAACTTCTGTAGAATTTACAACCTGCATTATACTTTTGCATTAAATTTATGATCTCATATTATGAGCAACTGTTTTGTAAAATCTTTTATAAATGTAAGTACCTCACAGACAAGAATGCCTTACAAAACTTCTGAATCTACTAAAGTGTTTCATTCAGTATTCAAAATACAGTGTTTATGAAAGTTGTCAGAATCAAAATGGAGTCAATTTGTGCTTCAAAAAAAAAAACAAAAAAAAAAACTTTGACAAATAGAGCTGAGTTCTCATGCATAATGCCTGATAACAAAAACAATCACAAAAACTCTACAAAGAGCACAACATTGTACAAAGGCCATCACAACCTTACACAAAAAAATACTTCTGTGAAGACATCTGCCCAGAAACTGCCTGTCTAACCTCAGGATGGTGCCACCTGTGTTACTACTGATCCTTGTAGCCAAGGATAATCTGAAAACAATTATGTAATCCTCTCCATTTTTCCTTTAAAAACCTTTGTTCTCCTTTACCTCCCTGCATATTCACACAGTTTACTATGGTACCCATGTTCCCATAGCAATGACTTATTCCCAAATAAATATCACTTTCTTTTAGCGAGTCTCCATTATTTAGGTTGACATGTTCAACATGTATTCACTTTTTCATGGAATTATAAAATCATAGACTTTTACAGTTAGAAAGAAAACTAATTCAACCCTGTATTTTATATCTGAAAGCACCGAGATCCATAGAAAGTAAGAGAATTTCCTGAGGTCACACACCTACTTAAAGTATAGCTGGGACTAAGAAACAAGTTTTTTTATTTCTTAGCCCATAATTCCACTACATATATGTGCCTTACTTACATTTAAATTTTTATTTACCTGAATGCTTAAGTTTGAGGTGCAGGCTTGACAATTTTAACAGCTTATGTCACCATCTCCTGTTCCCAAAGAGTCTCAAATTATTTGGTCCATTCTAGTCCAAGCCATCATCTTATCTCACTTGGACTATTAAAATGGCCTCCTAACTGTTTTCACTGTTTCCATTCTTGCCCCTTTTAGTTTCACACACAAGGCAGATGGATACTTTCAAAAGATAAATCACATCATGTTACTTTCCTGCTGAAAATTCTGCATTTGGCCTCTCATCACACTTAAAACAAAAACCAAAACCTTTATCCTGGCCAAATGTGATCTGGCCTACTAATACCTGCCAATCTCATCTCCTATCACATTCCTTCTTGCTCACCAAGCTCTAGCCAGGCTGGTCTCCTTTGCTATTTCTTGAGCATTCTAAGCATGTTTCCCCTTGAACCTTAAAATGGGCCGATCTCTCAGACTGGAATGCTCTTTCACAAGACAGCTTGATTATTTATTTAACTGAAGTCTCTACTTAGATGATACCTCCTCCGTGAGGCTTTTTCTGACCACCAATCTAAAATGAAGCCACCGTCATTCTCTGTTCTTCCACATTTTTCACAGCCTGTATCTGGTCTTCTCTACCGCTAGAATATAAGTTTGATGAAGGCAAAAGACTTCTTTTTAACTTCTGAATCCCCACTGCTAAAATACCTGGCATACAAAAGGTATTTGATAAATATTTATTTAATGAATGAATCAATTTATATTTTCATTTATTAAATCATTCAACAAGCATTTATTGTACATTTGTAATAGGTCAAGTAGTGGGCCAGGTATTGAAGATAACAAAATGAATAAGACATAGTTTCATTCCATTTGGGGATATTTTAGGGAGTCTGAGGTCTAGCAGAAATCTACTGACATGTGAATAATAAATTTGTTCACATCTCTTAAATGCTATAAATGTTGACAGTACAATAGGAATACCAAGAGTAGCACCTCTAATTCTGCCTTTAGCAAGTAAAGAAAAGAGGGCCTCATAGGGGAGACTGCCCTTGAGTTGGGTCTTAAAGGATGAGTAGACTATATATGTAACATACATACATAAATTTGGGCAGGGTGCCTTATATTACAACTTCTTTGTGCATCGGAACTACACTCATACACATCCCTTCTCAGCTCAGACACCCTAAGACTGAATTAGTTGTCATACTTTTGTATTCCCATAGCACCCTGCGCTTATGCTGATCATATACTTAACACATAATACTGTAATTATCTATACACTTGTCTAACTCCCCCATTAGACTCTAAAATCTATAGGGCAGTAACCAGATCTTGTTAACAGCTATATTCCTCATATTCACTTCCAAGCATTATTTTTATTATGTAATCTATTGTTTTTTTATTTTTATTATTTTTATTTTAGCATATTATGGGGGTACAAGTGTTAAGGTTACATATTATGTAATCTATTGAATGAATGTTGAATCCCTCATTATGAGGTAATGCCAGAGTACAGAACTAACGACAATGTTATGTGAGTGATACAATATTTTGATTATAAAACACAGAATGGCTATTGGAGATACTTTGGGATGGGAAATAATGCTATTAACTAGAGTTATTCAGTTGATCATTCAATAATGATAAATATAGTTATTATCAATGAGTTGGAAGTACTATGCTAAAGTCTTTTCATAAGCTATCCTCATTTTGTCCTCTTATTAACCCTCAGAGGTATTATTGTCACTCTTGTGCAAAGGAATGTGAAGCTCAAGTAGGTTTAATAATTTGTCCAAGTTCATACAGCAAATAAGTGGAGAAGCAAGAATTCTAACCAGGTCTATCTGATTGTAAAGCCCAAGATCTAACTTCCAATTATGTAAGCCTTTTAAACTATCTACAGCATTTCTCAAGCCCAATTTAATTTATACTAGAGGCTCATTAGAGCA